TGATCCACCCGCCTCAGCTTCCCAAATTGCTGGGATTACAGGTGTGAGCCACCGTGCCCGGAGGAGTTTTCTATTTTTAACACTCTATTATGAAGCCTTATAAAGGAAAGTGAAAGAAGATATGGGCTTGAGGGAAATTCAACTAGGTCAGAGGTAAGCTCTCCTCAAAAAAGCTGGCCTGGCCAGCCACAGTGGCTCAGGCCTTTAATGGCAGCACTTTGGGAGGCTGAGGAGGGAAGACTGCTCAAGCGCAGGAATTTGAGACCAGCTTGGGCAACACAGTGAGACCCCATCTCTACAAAAAATTTAAAAATTAGGCAGTTGTGGTGGTGTACACCTATAGTCCCAGCTCCTTGGGAGGCTGAGGTGAAAGGATCACTTGAGTCCAGGAGGTTGAGGCTGCACTGAGCCATGACTGCTCCACTGCACTCCAGCCTGGGCAACAGAGTGAGACCCTGTCTCACTGCAACCTCCACTTCCTTGGTTCAAGTGATCCTCCCACCTCAGCCTCCCAAGAATCTGGGACTACAGGCATGTGCCACCATGCCTGGCTAATTTTTGTGTTTGTAGTAGAGACAAGGTTTTGCAATGTTGAACAGGCTGGTCTCAAGCTCCTGGCCTCAAGCGATCCACCTGCTTTGGCCTCTCAAAGTGCAAAAATTACAGACATGAGCCACTGCGTTTGGCCTGCTATTATTTTTCATTGGCTTCTTGGGATATCATGATAGACCAAAATGGTGAAACCAAATGTTAATTACATTTGGAAAAGATGGGTAAGGTGCAGCATCCCAACCCCCAAACCATGGAGCCACGGTGGCTCCCTTAATTGCCCTGTCCAACGGACAGTCCTGTTTACAGGGGACCAAGTATAATCTCCTGTTGTTTCCCTACTCATGAAAAACGGTAGAAGTGGCTAGGCGTGATGGCTCACACCTGTAATCCTAGGCACTTTGGGAGGCCAAGGCGAGTGGATTGCTTGAGTTCCAGTTCGATACAAGCCTGGGCAACATGGTGAAACTCCATCTCTACAAAAAACAAGCCAGGCGTCATGGTGCATGCCTGTAGTCCCGGCTACTTGGGGAGATGGGAGGATCGCTTGAGGCCAAGAGGCCAAGGCTGAAATGAACAGTAATTGCACCACTACACTCCAGCCTGGGTGACAAAGTGAGACCCTGTCTTAAAAAAAAAAAAAAAAAAAAAAAGCAAGATAGTAGAGCCTCTGAGGCCAGGCAGCAGGTATCATACTCACCATTCCTAAAACCTGCTCTTTCCTACAGTGTGTAAGTATGGTAAAAGAGGGGGGAGAGAGAGAGAGAGAGAGAAAGAGAGAGAAAGAGAGAGAGAAGGAAGAGAAGGAAGGAAAGGAGGGAGGGAGGGGGGAGGAAGAGACAGGGTGGAAGGGAGTGGGAGAGAAAAGAAGGGAGAAACAAAAGAAAGAAAGGGAAGGAAGAAAGCAAGAAAGGAAGGAAGGAAGCAAAAAAGGAAGGAAAGAAAGAAAAAGAAAAAAATAAAGGAGGGAAGCAGGAGGGAGGAAGGAAAGACAAAGAGAAAGAAAGAAAGAGGGGAGGGAAGGAGAGAAGGGAAGGGGATGGGAGGGGAGAAAGGAAGGGAAGGGGAAGTGGAGGGGAGGGGAGGG